GGATCAGCTGGCCTCTTGCCTGCGCTATGAGCTCTTCCTTGCTCATGTGTGCTTTTTTGTATTCATTGGTTCACCTCTGACTGCTGCCCCTGGCTCAGTCTTGACAAACCATCACATTGTGGAGCAGACTGCCAGATTCCGTGCAGAAGCTCCTGGTTTCTGGTTAATGTTTTAACTTGGAGAATAGTGTTGCTATTGACTATGACAAATGCCTTTGTTCTCTGAGCATTCCAAGGCCCAGCAGCCTAAACTTGGCTACACAAGGACCTGTAAGGAACACATTCCTGTATGAAGTGCTCTTGCATAGCAAAGTTTCCTTTAGAGTTAGACCCATTCCACTTTAGCTGCATCTATATATCTCTATCATCTATCATCTATCTATCTATCTATCTATCTATCATCTATCTATCTGTCATCTATCTATCTATCATCTATCTATCTATCTATCTATCTATCTATCATCATCTATCTATCTATCATCTATCTATCTATCTATCTATCATCTATCTATCATCTATCAATCTATCTATCATCTATCTTTGAAGAAGGATCTCCTACATTCTAATTATACAGTGCAACCCCTCAGCAAGTTTAGTCAGAAGTAAGCCAACTGTGTTCAGTAGGACTTACTCACAGGTAAGTGGATTTTTTGGCTTAAATGTTTTTCTTCTCTTTTATCTACTCCCAGGTAAGTTTGCTGAGAACTGCAAAACAGGATGGATGGTTTTTCTTTTCTTTTTTTACATATCTAATTTACTTTCAAATTCTCTCACTTCAAAGCATTTCAGACATGGGGGTACCTGGATGGTACTGTCCTCTCGCACGTAACGGCAGCGTCTCAGGCTGCCCCCATGCAGAAAAGTCAGTTTGGTTTATACATGTGACAGGATGGCTGGAACAAATTATATTAGGGCTGCAGGTGAGGGAGTGCCATTTTTAATGCTCCCCCATGTAAGGAAAAATACCTGATAAATAAAAAGCTAGCAAGTAAGCAAGCGAGAAAGGTTGTAGCCCAACGTGATCCTGACTGTCCTAGCTTCCTGCTTTCAGTGAGGTTTTAAAAATAAATAGGTAAGAGAACACTTTAAAATATGATCCCCACCTAGGGCTTTAAGTGAGGTTCATCTATCCTATTATTATTATTATTTCAGTTTCTAGCGCACCCTCTTTTGATTCACAACCCTAAGGCAGGTTAAAGCACGGCATATTAACAACAATAAAAACACAGTAAGTTAAATGTAACTGCTGAAACACTAACTAAAATTCTAACTCTCTTGTTACAGGCCCTCCAACTGTCCCATTTTTACGGGTACATCCTGGAATTACCGAAGCCACCCTCGCTTCTGATTCAATCCCAGAGTGTCCTGCCATTTCAGCCAAGGGGGACCAAAAGAGTGCGGAACCAAAAGACGTGTGCTTTGGCTCCACACCTTGCCGCTGCTGGCCGGCACACACGGACAAGGAGGGCTGCTTCTTCCTGAAATAGAGCGCCACTTCCAGAAGTACGCCGCTGTGGCCCTCCTCATGTGTTTGTGGCCACAGTGGCGGGTGTGCGGCAGTGTGGGGTGCTGTGCAGTGGCGGGGCATGCACACACTTGAGTTGGCAAGGCAGTGGGTGGGTGAGCTTTGGCAGTGGATTTTGAGGGGTGCAAGGATGCAAGCAGTGCAGTGGCAAAGGGCTAGTCGGGGTGTGTGTGTCCTAATTTCTTCTTCAGAAATGTTGGAGTGTATGCTATTAACAAGGCAGATAATAAGGGGGAGGGGGATCACAAGCTCATTTCAAAATGACTCCAGAGTTATTTTTGTTTTAAGTATCAATTTCGGCCTGGCCAGAAATACGCATAGCTACCTACGGAACGAGACCGCCTGCACATCTGCAACCGGAGCCCGTTCAGATGAGTGCAAAGGCTTATGGGATCCTCCCCTCCTTTTCCTGGCAGCTTCTCATACTGTATTGCAAGTAGCTTCTCAAATTCTTCCAAGAAGCTGCTTGCAGTACAGTGGAGTTGCTTGTCTTTCCTGACAGCGACCCACCTCCAGGGAAAGGGCTGAAAGGGACTGTCACCTCTTTCTGACAGCATGTCAGGCCCACTCCTGACATCTGAATCTGCTGCAGTCCTGCTGCCTGGGAGTTGAAATAGCAGTCAGTCTGTAGATTGCTCAGCGTTCTGACAAAACTGGAAAAAGAACTAGGGCATCCTGCCACCTTGTGACTGGATTCGGAAACGGCAACCTGCAATCCTACGACAGATTTCTGAAAAAGTGATTAGGTTCCCCAAAGCATGCTGAGGGTGTCTTGTTTTATTTTAAAGTAAACCAAAGGACATCAAACGATTGCTAAGCTATGTAAGAATTCTTACTGGCAATTCGATACCACCAAGGAGCCACAGCAATCATTTGAAGTGAAGCATAAGAGCATTTATATTTCAAGGCAGATTTTCAGCTGTTGCCTGTAAAGCTGCTATTTTTATGTTATTTTCACGTCCCCCCTCTTCCTTTCAAGGAGCTCAAGGTGGCCTTCACAGTTCTCCCCTTCCCCATTTTATCCTCACCATGACCATGTGAGGTAGGTTATACTACTATAGGGTTACCAGACGTCCCCGGTTCCCGGATCCAGTCCCTGGATTTGCAAATCTGTCCCCGGACAAATTCCGTCCTCGGAATGTCCCCAGATTTGCAAATCTGTCCCCGGGAAACATGGCAGTGGCAGCCTCAGCAGCCCGGAGCCAGCCTGGTAGCGCAGTTGGCTCTGGCTGGCTTCAGGAGCTGCTTGCTGCCGTGGCACCCGCCATTTCCCCTGCACTATGGCAGCAAGCAGCTCCTGAAGCCAGCCAGAGCCAACTGCGCTACCAGGCTGGCTACGGGCTGCTGAGGCTGCCACTTCCATGTTTCCCAGGGACATTCCGGGGACGGAATTTGTCCAGGGACAGATTTGCACTATCAGGCTGGCCTCTCCTGGGCAATGGTCGCCCGCCCATGACTCTCCTGATCTGTCAAAACAAAGGGGGAAGGGGATCGGGGAAGGCTCAGGAGTCATGGGCAGGCGGCACACTGTTGTCCAGTTTTTAATAAAACTCTGCGCATTTATGTTTCACAGGGTGCAAAAGAAGGGCTTAGCACCTTTATACAATATGCATGTGTGCTTGGGCCCAGAGTTTTTTGCCTCACCATCCAACACTACTGACTCCCTGTTGCTACTCAGCATCAAAAAAGAAAAAAAAAAAGTGTCCCCGGATTCATTGAAAAGAATCTGGTAACTATATACTACTAGAACGTGACTGGCCCATGTTTGTACAGTTTGCATTGTGGTGGAGTGGGAGTTGAACCTGGGTCTCCCCACAGTCCAACACTCTAATCACTGGCTGTCTCTATCAGCGGAACGGATGTCCTGTAGGCACAAAAATGGAAGGGGGGGGGGAGTGAAGGACTAGGCAGCCTTTCTCAACCTTGGGTCCCCAGATGTTATTGAACTACAACTCCCATCATCCCTGACCACTGGTCATGCTGGCTAGGAATGATGGGAGTTGTAGTCCAACAACATCTGGGGACCCAAGGTTGAGAAAGGCTGGCCTAGAGGGATACGGGCAAGACACCCAGGATGTGAAGAAAATCCTCCCAACCCTGTCAACAGGGCAAGGCAAGGCAACAGCAACATTCCCTGGCTGTTCTTTCTGAGCTCCTGATAATCTAATAATAATAATAATAATAATAATAATAATAATAATAATGTATTACATTTGTATACCGCCCTTCATCCAAAAAGAGTTCTGGCACCTCTTTTTCTAGAAAAATAGCACTGAAAAGGGGAATGCAAAATACTTAATAATAATAAAAAAAACAATTTCACCTGTCTGCTTCCAAAGGAGAGCCAAAAACAAGGCCCATTCCATTGGCTTGGCTCAGACCAATTGCCATTTGGCTCCCTCCTTCCCAGAACTGTCTGCCTCAGTAAACCTGGTCATTTCCCCAGTTTTGAAACATGTTGTATGAATTTGTACTGAATGTTCTTATTTTCCTCATTCCTCCCCCGCCCCCCCACTTTTATACCATGCTTATCTGCCATTATTTTAAACTGTAAATGACCTTGGCTGCATCAGTAGAAAGGCAGCAGATAGGAAAGTAAACAAAAATCACAGAAAATGTGAGTTGTGGACCAGTCAAGTACCTGACTCACTATGTTGATAACGCCTTCTAAGCAAGCTCTCTACCAGTGTTTCTCACACTTGGGTCTCTAGTTGGTTTTAGACTACAATTCCCATCATCCCTGACAACTGGTCCTGTTAGCTAGGAATGATGGGAGTTGTAGTCCAAAAACAGCTGGAGACACAAGTTTGGGAAACACTGCTCTGTAGTATCTGATGTAGCAAAAGGCAGCCCCTTGTGTTAGCAGTCCGCAGTCTCCTTACCTGGCTGATAGACCGAAGGCCTGATGCTGGCAGTGGTGACAACTCTGGGCTTTGAAGCAGGAGCCGGGGCTTCGCTGTAGCCTGGGTAAGGAGCAGGGCTGTGGGAAGCTGGAGCTGATGTGTAAGATTGGCCTGGGCCTCTAAAACCAAAGCAAAGCTGTGAGCAATTCATGCATATATACCACAGGATTAAGACCGATGAAGCATCTGTTGAATGGTGGCTTCCATAGAACGTTGTGAGAGCCTACCAGAAAGTTCCAGAGGCAAGGAGGGAGAGATTGTTACCTTAAAACTCAGTACAGCCAGCATGTACTTCTAATGCTGGTGTTTTAAAAGACTGGGTTGAAAACACATTTAATAAAGGAGAGACATTAGGTTGCTCTTAGTACATCTGCAAAACATTACATCGGGAACTCTTAGGGCTGCTAAATATGGCTAGCCCCATAGAAAAAGGTGAGATTTCAATGGGGAAAATGGTCCATTGCTTCAGATTCCAGGGAAGATGGGTAAAGATGGGGTGCATTTCATAGAATAGTAGAGTTGGAAGGGACCCAAACGGTCATCTAGTCCAACCCCTGCAATGCAGGAATCTTTTGCCCAATGTGGGGCTCAAACCCATGACCCTGACATTGAGAGTCTCATGCTCTACCAACCGAGCTTGCCTTGTGACTGTTCTTGCTGGTTCACTGACTTGGGAATGTCACGTATGGTGCACATGGGAGACGGTGATTTAAAGTAGTTACAATAGAGTTTCTTAAAGTGGAGTGGGGGGAGCCATTTCAACTGAACTCATTGCAGTGGGAACAGTGAAGCCACCAAGGAAGATCTAGAGTAGCCATCTCCTTCCTAGTGTCGAATTGTTGTTGTTGTTGTTGTTGTTGTTTTTGTTATTATTAATATTATTATTATTAATACCATACCTATCTGGCTGGGTTTCCCCAGCTGCTCTGGGAGGCTCCCAACAGAATATTAAAAGCACGATAAAGTATCAAACATTACAAACTTCCCTATACAGGGCTGCCTTCAGATGTCTTCTAAATGTCAGATAGTTGTTTATTTCCTTGACATCTGATGGGAGGGTGTTCCACAGGGTGGATGCCACTGCTGAGAAGGCCCTCTGCCTGGTTCCCTGGTTCTCGCAGTGAGGGAACCGCCAGAAGGCCCTCGGTGCTGGACCTCAGTGTCTGGACTGAATGGTGGGGGTGGAGATGCTCCTTCAGGTATACTGGATGGAGGCCATTTAGGCTGCACCCACTCCAGCAGTTTGGTCAGGGAATGTCAGGCTACATCCTGCTGCAGTTGCACTTTGCTCAGATTGAAGACATTGGCAGGCTCCCTTTCAGAGTGGAAGTAAAGGATGTTTCTGACCAAGAGACCTTGAAGCTATCCTCTCTTTTTGCACTGGGGGTGGGGGTGGGGTGGCAACTGGATGAGAAGCAGTACCTGGCAGACTTCAGATCAACAACTAACAAGGTATTGCACTTAGTATAAAATAAAGGTGGGCAGCTTCTGTAGTCACTGCCAGGGCCATTTAGTTGTCCAGACAGGGGTCAAAAGGGCAGTTTGTTACACAACCGAACCTCTACACAGGTAAATAGACTCATTTTTTTTAAAACCACCCTCAGAGCCGTCTAGCTGTAAGGGTGTCATATATTGCTTAATTACATAGTGTAATTTTAATTTTTTTTTTTTTTAGTGTAATAAATTAGGTTACAGTGTACAGTCGTACCTTGGAAGTCAAACAGCTTAGTTCCCAAAAGTTTTGGCTCCTGAACGTCACAAACCCGGAAGTGACTGTTCCAGTTTGTGAACTATTTTTCAAAGCCGAACATCCGACAGGGCTTCCATGGCTTCCTGCAGCCAATCAGAAGCTGCGCTTTGGTTTTCAAACGTTTTGGAAGTCAAATGGTCTTCCGGAACAGATTCCGTTTGACTTCCAAGGCACGACTGCACTGTTTATATAGGAAATGTACATTTCCTCAAGAAAATTTAAAAGGGAGAAAAACGGTGTTATACAAAGACAAAAACTCCCAGCATCACAATTTATATAATAAAAAAGATAACATTCAGCAATACAGCCAAAATAGGAATGCGGATTAGAATTTGCAGTGACGAAGAGGCTCCTGAAAGAGAGAGAGAGAGAGAAAGAAAGAGAGAGAGAGAAAAAGAAAAGCTCACTGCTTCATTAATATAAAAGGTTTTTTAGCAAAGTTAGGTCAGCTGTAGGCATGTATCAGTTGGCATTTCTGCTGGAGAAAGTTAAAACGTTGATGAGGGACTGTGGTTTTTTTTTTTTTTGAAGAGAACAGTTTAGATACTGGTGACAGTTTCAAAGAACAGCTCAGCAACACTGAAAGCAACTGTGATTGCATCTGCGGCAGATTGCAGCAGGTTTAGACAGCATGTACAGTTGGAAACTATTAGTTGTCAGAGAAAAGGAAAACCACTGCTGAGAATGAGAAAATTATTTAGATTAATGCTTTGCTAACCATCAACTGGCAAACAGAAAGCAGCGCACTAATTGATTAGCATCTGCACAAAGGCGGCGCACTTTATACCTCTTTTTGGACTGGCAGGTGATGGAAGTAGAAGACTGGTGACTGACACTAAACAAAAAAAAGACAAAAGTTGGTGTTTTTTTTTTAATGCAATGGAAAATAGGTTTGAAATTTGGAATAATCTGAGAGAACTGGGCAAGTCTGACTGTGCATGGTTTCCAGGTTAAAAAAAAAAAAAGCGCAAGGTTTGTTAAGGATGTCAATATTGTAAAAAAAGATTAAAGTTTCTTAAATTCATGATTCCCTTTCCACGGGCGTATGTTTAACTGATGCTGAGTCAAAACCTATTTAGTACACTCAATCTCAGGAAGTCCATTAAAGCCTTGCATTTAAAGCCAATTGATTATTAGCCCACATGGGTGTTCTCATTTTTCTGTTTCAGGACTGTTAAGCAGTGCTCCCCCCCAAAAAAAATGTTTAGGGGCACTCTCATTTTGACTCAAGAAAATCACCATTTTATAGTTCAAATTGGGAAAAATAAATACAGTAAATGGACAAACGTACAAAGATTCACAAAATTTTCAGGGGTATGTGTACCCCAGCGTCCCCCCAGAAAAAAGCACTGCTGTTTAGTATCAACTTTCAGTAAATGTCAGAAGACATTTGTTACTATGACTGAACGCCTGACATTACAAGGGAGAAAAAAGCACATGTGGGGTCAAGACTAAGGGTTAGAATGATTATGAATGATTCAACTAGAGAAAGGCCCTAGCTGGTACAGCGCTATTGTTTGGCTCTCCAAAAAACTCGAATGCAGTGTTTCCCAAACTTGGGTCTCTAGTTGTTTTTGGACTACAACTACCATCATCCCTAGCTAGCAGGACAAGGGATGATGGGAACTGTAGTCCAAACCAGCTGGAATTCCAGGTTTGTGAAGCACTGCTCTTATGGCTCAGGACATATCATGGCTGTTCCCTTACTGTGCAACAGGGGAGCAGGATCCAGATGTCAGGTGTGAGATCAACAGGACAGGAGAACTTTATTAGAAGGTAGTTCACATGGCCTTTGGTGTGTGGTGTGAGATAGATTCTTTTCCATCCAGACTCAAAATGTGCTTGTGGTGAATGTGGGGTGAGCCAAGCAACATGGTCAGGTCTTCTCCCGCACCTCCCACCTGGCGAGTACAGTGGTACCTCGGGTTAAGTACTTAATTCATTCCAGAGGTCCGTACTTAACCTGAAACTGTTTTTAACCTGAAGCACCACTTTAGCTAATGGGGCCTCCTGCTGCTGCTGCGCTGCCGGAGCACGATTTCTGTTCTCATCCTGAAGCAAAGTTCTTAACCTGAAGCACTATTTCTGGGTTAGCGGAGTCTGTAACCTGAAGCGTATGTAACTTGAAGCGTATGTAACCCGAGGTACCACTGTACATTGTTTCCCCTTGTTTGTGGCCAGTTCCAGCTGAAGTCCTGCTTGATACAGCAGGTGGAAGAGAAGGCTGGAAGGGAAGTTCTGTGTGTGGAATGGTGTTTCATGCTTAGGATAGGAACTGCTACCTACCAACTCAGGCCATTGGTCCATCTAGCTCAGTTTTGTTTACCCTGACTGGCAACAGCTCTCCAGGGTTTCAGACAGGGGACATGTCAAACCCCACTTGTGGAATGAACCTGAGACCATCTTCATGCAAGGCAGATGCTGTGCTACTGAGCTACAGCCCTTCTCTCTTAGGTTTGCTGTGAACACTACTTGAGCACTATCCCTTTGCCAGAGCTATAGGGAAAAACATACTGTATTTTTTGCTTTATAAGACTCACTTTTTCCCTCCTAAAAAGTAAGGGGAAATGTGTGTGCATCTTATGGAGTGAATGCAGGCTGCGCAGCTATCACAGAAGCCAGAACAGCAAGAGGGATTGCTGCTTTCACTGTGCAGCGATCCCTTTTGCTGTTCTGGCTTCTGAGATTCAGAATATTTTTTTTCTTGTTTTCCTCCTCCAAAAACTAGGTGCGTCTTGTGGTCTGGTGCGTTTTATAGAGCGAAAAATAGGGTACATATTTACAGTCCTCATAGGAACCAGCTGCTTTTAAATTAACAATTTCTTGCTGGAACCGCCATGCAATATATCCCTCATACCTCACCAGTTGCTGTTATTTCAGTTATCTGCCTTGGAAGCAGATAACACTGAAGTTACAATTTTTTTAAAAAAACAACAGCCCCAAATGGGTTTACTACTTATATTCCACTTCTACAAAAATCTCCTGTCCTGGTTACTTAATGGGTCAGTGCCCACTTATTTTCATCAGCTCTGTGTTTTCCCACAGCATCTGCTGAACTTGGGGAGAAAGAGAATTTCAAGCCCCTCTGATTTGTTTTGTTGCTCTGGATCTAAATTGCTTTCGAATAATTTTTCCTTGCTCACAGAAATGTCTATGCCAAGCCAACGAGGCCTGTCCTACACAGACATATACTGTATTTTTTGCTCTATAAGACACACTTTTCCCCTCCTAAAAAGTAAGGGGAAATGTGTGTGCGTCTTATGGAGCAAATGCAGGCTGCGCAGCTATCCCGGAAGCTAGAACAGTAAAAGGGATCGCTGTGCAGCAAAGCCTCTTCAGGGCAGGGAGAGCCTTCATCCTGCTGCCCTGAAGAGGCTTCATGTGGCTATCCCAGAAGATTCAGAATATTTTTTTTTCTTGTTTTCCTCCTCCAAAAACTAGGTGCGTCTTATGGTCTGGTGCATCTTATAGAGCGAAAAATATGGTAATTTAGTTACCTGTTTTGGTTTTACTGATTTTATCTGTGTGTTTTTGATGATTGTTCTGGGTATATATTTTTAATCCGTTTTGTGGATTTTAAATGTGTTTCATCTATGGTTTTATTACGTACTCTGCTCAGAATGTGCTTTGATTTAAGCACTTCATAAATCTTACAGATAATTTGGTAAATAGTTCTCTCCCCCCAGTATCCTCCAAGAGAACGTTTTCTTCCTCTCTTTCCCCACTCCTCCTCATTCTCTTCCCAACCATGTTACACACATCTAAGCCAACAGGTGAAGCAAACAGGCACAAAGTATTACCTTTGGCAAGAAGACGAGATGGAGTCGTGCACCATGGAAGTGGCCGCGGCTGACGGCAGGGTCATCTGATGAGCGGCACTGTGAGCGGCAG